TAATTCGACCGGAAAAATTATTTTAAAGCCAGAGCTTGGTCTACATGTAAACATCCATGGATTCTCCGATGAAGCTGAAATTTTTTTACATGAAGCTTGATGATTGGTTTATTCTAAAAACAGAAATGATTGGATGATATCACTACACAGGTAAACCAAAAGTAGTTCACATGGTAAATTTGCGATTGAAATGCATAAAATTGTCATGTTTGGAGTGTTTGTTATCATCGTATTTTAATTGATTAAGTGTTTTTATAGTCCTTGCTTAGAACTTATTGCATTACATTTCGCTTGTCATAGACTCAACCAATCATATACCTTGCCTATTGTATTAGAGATAGCTTGTTATAAGATACCCGGGCGTCGCCCCGGCCTTAGTTTTGCGGCTTTCGGAGTTTAGTTGGAGTTAGAAGTCATCGGAGTAAACACTAGTTCTTTGGAGTTCATACAAGTTTAGCAGAATATTTCAAGTTTTCTGAACTATTACACCGGAACAAACGTAAGTTACGTCCTTTATTCTACTCAAGTAATTCAATAGTTAATCGTTAGTTTTCTTATAGTTTTCACCGAATTGTACGAATTGTTTCATTGTTTGTGAGAGAGGTCAGAGTGGAGCGGAGTTCTGAATAAAACCCATTCAATGGACACAACGCCTACGATTCTGGTTGGCACTTAGCGTCCCCTAGTACCTGCGACTCACCGGCGACGCGACAGTGAAAAGTTTGAGGTAAAACGTTTGGAAACTACTTGGAAGGTAAGATTACCTTAGTTATACAATGAACGGAGATACATGGACACCGAGGGCCGCCAGGACCCGAACCATGACTGAGAAGGGTATAGAAAACGCCCTCGAAAGAAAACGGAGAGAGTTACGCATCCAAATGCACAAATTAAGTCACTATATCCAGAATAGCACTGATACTGAAATCCCACGTGCCGTCGATATTCAATCAATGGAGCAAACCGGAGCCKTACTGGGCGGATTACTATCKGAATTCAAGGAGCTAATCGAGCAAACAAAGGAGCCTCTACAAACCGATGTAGAATTGATTGATTTTCTAGATAGATTGCTACATAAATCTAGTGATATTGTTAATCAAACAAAGAATAGRAAAACCGACAAATCGTCGGCTATAAGTCGTCARTCTCGTAAATCAGCAGCGTCCACGTCTAGCTCGGCYAAACTTCGCGCYAAAGCATTGGCCGACGCAGCAGCCGCACGTACACACGCGGAATTCGAACGCTTGATCGCCAAGGAAGAATACGAGCAAAAGCAACGCGAAGCYGAGCAGGAACGGCGCAAATCTAGTGATCGAGCMTTACACAAAAGGAACATTGCTACGCTAACCGCAGACAGGAAATTGGCAGTAGCAACCGCAAAACTTGACGCGATAAACCAAATCATGAGAGAGGAGACTGGAGTTATAGATGAGGAAGATTTTAACGATATAGAAGATGAATTAGATCAGGAGAGAGAAAAAAGAACAGAGGAATGGGTGAGAAAAAGTCAACAAGGAAGCATAGGCGAYCACCGTGAGAGAAGCGTAGTGGGGGAGGGGTCCCCTAGTAATCAACATAACACGCAACCAACATTGAAAACCGCAAGCCATCGCGCACATGCCGACAAGTCTATTTTTGATCAGTTCTCACCGCACGCCTTGCATACTCTACGCCCCTTTGAGTCTACGCCCATCCGAGATGCCACGGGAACYATYTTAGAGGCGTTGACAACAACCAACCAGAAAATTGTCTCGGGGATCGCAAAACAAAATCTTCCTAAATGTCACCCAGACACCTTCAACGGTGATGCCACGCTTTTTCATCCGTGGAAAAAGGCCTTTAAGGCAATGTTAAGCGACATAGACGTGACTCCCGATCAGGAGATTNGCCGTCATAACAAACGTGTTGCTCGAGCGATTGCATTACGCAGCGAATTTCGACGAGAATGACAAAAGGAAATTACAGGAATTTTCAGATATTTGCGCTGACGTAGACAGTCAAATTGAAAGTCTGCCGGGACTAGCCTGTCTTAATTTCCCAATAGCAATCTCGCCTATCGTACAAAGAATGCCACGTTCACTCAGAGCTAAGTGGGATAAAGAGGTCGCTCAGTTCGCGGAAGAAAATAACGACGCCTATCCCAAGTTCCACAATTTAGCAAAAATTGTCGAAAAACAATCCATCATGAGAAACCACCCAAATATTACTAGCTCACCCCTAGAGAGACCGACATTTAAACGGAGGCCGGAGCCACAAAGAAAAGCGTTAGCTACAAAATTCGTCAGTCCAGAAGCGCAGTCAAACACGTATCATGTAAACAAACAGAGTAAGAGTTGCCCCTTCCATAATAGCGACGGTCACGRGCTCGCTAATTGCAAGGCCTTTATGTCTAAGAATTTAAAGGAAAAAACTAAAAAAATAAAGAAGGCTGGCTTGTGTTTRCTGTGCTTTTCCAACGAACATAACGCAAAAAACTGTAGCGCAAACGTATCGTGCGAAACCTGCGGCGATAAGCGTCACAATGTGCTATTACATAAAGAAAAGCCTAACGCGCCCGCAGATGATACCGCTGACCCATCTAGTATCAACACGAAATGCACGGTAAAATGCGACTCAAATGGCGGCCTTTCCTGTAGCAAGATAGTCCTTGTTGACGTGTATAGACAATCAAAGCCTACCGAAACAAAGAGAGTTTATGCCATAATAGACGACCAAAGCAATGCATCATTGGTTACCAGCGAACTCCTCGACGACATCGGCTTTGACACACCACGTGAAAAGTACTTCCTGACCACTTGCAGCTCTTATAATGAAGTTCGATACGGCAGGAAMGTATCCGATATGGCTGTGCGCTCGGTTATAGAYAAGAAAGAATTCAGTCTGCCACAATTAACAGAATGTGACGTCATTCCAAGCGAKAAACAAGAAATACCAACACCAGAAATGGTGGGAAGATTCCCTCATTTGAAATCCATCGCAGAGGAGATACCGGCCTTAGAACCCGATGCAAGTGTCCACCTTCTCCTTGGTCGAGACGCACCCGAACTGCTGAAGGTGAGAGCCTTCAAGAACGGACCAAGAGGCGCACCGTGGGCTCAAAAGCTATCCCTGGGTTGGACGGTATCTGGACAAATCTGTTTAGACCTCGCTTGCCACAACGTCCACATCACTGCTAGAAAGACAAACCTCGAGAAGACCCACGAGAATACACGTGCAGATAGACCGCTACCCCATGGCGAGGAGTGTGACGTCACACCATGTCCGAATCAGTTKACTTTAACATCCGAGATACCCAAGAACGTCGAGAGAGCACTTCTAGGAGACGTATTTCACACGCGTCCAGACGATAACGAACCAAGCCTTTCCGTTGAAGACCGTAAGTTTATTCGTACGATGGAAAACGGGCTGACTAAAAACAAACTGGGAAACTMGGAAATGCCACTCCCATTCCGTCACGAGGGAACAGTCATGCCCAACAATAGGACACAGGCAGCCCAYCGACTAAACAGCCTCATAAAGAGCCTAAAGAGGAAACCGGAAATGAAACAACACTACATCGATTTTATGGAGAAAATCATCACAAAGGGCCACGCAACACAGATACCTACTGAAGACTTGAAAACCCAAGACGGACAAGTATGGTATCTACC